GGGGAGGACCTTGGGGTGGACTAGGTTGGGGTGGAGGTTGGGGTGGACCTGGATGGGGAGGAGGCTGGGGAGGAGGCTGGGGTGGAGGCTGGTGATAGGATGATGCTGCAGCATTTCACAAACTTTTAAAGCGTATGAAATCCATATTTTGGTAGTAAAAAAATATATGTCTATCACAGTTTAGAACGCTCTCGAGCTTGCGTCGATTGAAAAGGCAATTTACTCTTAACTTCAGCTTTTTGTAGCTATTTACTACGTGTACGATATACAGACTTCATCACGTTATCTCAAAAGTTATACGTAGCATACCTTGTTACCTTGACGTATTGACCACCAGTAACAAATGGCTTCTAGTTTTTCGGAAGGTCACTGTTTTATCCTTTTTTATACTAAACAAGCTTCGCTGTTTGTTATTTGTCAGGCAATCGCGAAAGCTGACAAAAACTTATAATTAGCTAGTGGCTATCCAATCTATGCTTACAGCTTTAAACTCGTATTCGACGATGTCATCGCTATGCCCTAAACAGAGAAATCATGATAACTCAACGCAAAACGTTAACGAATAGAGTACTAGACATCAGTTTCTCCATCTAGGTGTTAGTTCTACCCGGATTACAAACACCAATAATGCTATTTTGCTTTAGAGTTCATCTGCGCATGTATGGAATGACGTAGGAAGTGTATTCGTAAAACTTGACCATGTCCGCTATTTCATGATATATTGAAGCTGATCGAAAGTAACTATTTTCGAAAAGTGTTCTTTGCACAGTGTCTTTATCTTTTAAGTAGTCAACTTCAAATAAACACGTCATTTTCTCATCGCCCAGTGCTATTTCAGCAACTTCGTTGTACTCGATCTGCTAACGTTTTGGGTTAAGTTACATGATTATCTGCTAAAGCATACATTGAATAGCCGATACTAGTAATAAACTTTTGTCAGCCTGTATACTATTACGCAATTGCCTTACGGATAAATAAAAGCGAAGCTTGTTTAGCACCAAAAGGATAAAAAAAGAAGGGATCACGTACAGTGAGTGACTTTCGGAAAAAGTAGAAGCTCCATCAAGACGAATGATAACCGGCGAATAGAACACTTGACGCATCAAGGTAGCAAGGTACGTTACATACAGCGAGCAACTCCTGTAGTCATTTTACTCATTAACGTGTTTATTCACCAACGTGATGAAGCCGGTATTTGTTACACGTTGTAAATAGCTGTGCAAAAAGCTGAAATTAACAATGAAAAACACAACTTGGGTGCATTCAAGACATTGAGTTTTGTTACTACCAAAATATA